GTATGGTGTATGGTATGATATATGGTATAGTATATGGTATGGTATATGGTATGGCATATGGTATGGTGTATGGTATATGGTATCACACATGTCATGGTGTATGGTATCACACATATCAAGCATGTCAGCACAAGACGGCATGACACAGCACAGCACCGCATGGCATGGCATGGCATGGCATGGTGTGACACAACACAGCACAGCACATGGTAGAGTATGGTATATGCATGCATCTGCTTACCTTTTCTAGCCAGGGCAGAATGCAACCTGAGTGAAACATATGTTCACATGGCATTTGTTTGACTTTTTCGTTTTCTTCATACTCGGCAAGACAGATGGGACAACTTGAAGTTGAATCATCTACAGTATTAAAACAAAGTTGATTATTTGTTTTCAAAACAAACTGGTGAATATAAATGTATTAATATGCACAAATTAAACCCTTTTTTATCTTAAAAATAGTCCCATTCAAGGTAGCCATGCCTTTGCATCGATGTGAGATGAATGGTGAGCTTGCAATGATAGAGACCGTTTTTTAACACCTTGGACAATATTCACATTTCTCTATGATTGCAAGCTCACCATTTGCCTTGCTTCGAAGCAAAGGCATGGCTGGCTACCTTTTGAGATGGCACTAAGAACTGTGATATGAAACGCTTGCCTTTGAGATGATTCCTAGTAATCGTCACTACAACTAGGTTATTTATAGCTTCATTCGATGCTGGTGGAGAACCAATATTGTCAAACCCCGCACTGAAATTTGAATTTAACAAATAAAAATAAAAAACTACATATTTCTGGAACGAAAATAAATTTATCCCTGCTTCCCATGGAGGAAGATCGATGTTATGCCTCCTGAATGGGCACTTTAAGGATGTACAATTTACAGTGCAAAGCACAATATTAAAGTATGACCACATTAATTAATGTATTTGAATACTTATATGCACTTGCTTTTCGTGGCTAGCTTTTACTAACTTTATTTGGTAAAACCTTATTTAGCTCATACATAAGCCCCTGGTTCAAGATATATATTAGGGCAACCACTGTTTGGTTATCAAAACAAAATAAATTAGCTTCTCTGCTAGCAGAGCCTATTTTCCTTTTGTTTTGGTGGAGTGAGAAAAATAGACTCTGCCGATGTAGAATGTTATAGTTGTCATGTCTGCGTGGCGTAACTTAGCAACGCTGTCACGATTTTGACAGCTGCTCTGCTCATCAAACAACGTTTGGCGCCACGGTGTGTTACATTTGCTCATGCACACTACATGTACCTGGTATAAAACCGGTTTCGTTCACCCACGATCGTGGTTGGCGGTGTACCGAAGGAACCACTCTACATCGGCAGAGTCTCCCTCCTCTCTGCCTAAAAGAAGGGAGAGAAAGAGGAGACTCTGCTAGCAGGTGTTTTGTCGTTGCCGTTTCAAAATATCAGAAAAGAAATCTAGAGTTCCCTCAGCCCGTCTCCCCTACAGAGAATTACAGATAGGACTTAGAGGTATATGTATAGAAAATGTTAAGGCAGACGTCGGAAAATATGGGTTCTTAATTAATGATGTGTACAAGCACCTTGCTAACTCCACCAGATCTTCAGTTGACAAGAGTAACCTGTATAATAGAACCACTGATATGTATATAAATCTACTATAAGCTATTATAAACGACCAAACATATTATTCAGTTCTCTATCTATAGTAAACCCTTTAGTATTTTTTTATTCCCGGCCCATTGATGGCTTTCTTACTTTTTATGTGTCATGATAAGATATTTACCTGGCCAACTCGAGAAGAAAATTTGGATGAGAGGCTCGATCCGTCGAAGCGTGTTCATCGAAATAAGAAGCCATCAGTTGTGAATGTGAGTCGCAAAAACCAGATTTTCAGTGATTTCTGTCTTCAGTTATTTAAAATTTTATTGGAAAGCGAAGGAAAAAAACATATGAGTCAGCATCGAGCAGCGGTCTTACCCTATCCTATAAACGTACGTGGGGTTCCTGTGGTTTTGCGCACAGGCAACCCATAGGCAAAGATGTTACTTTCTTTGTCCCTCGCCTTTTTCTTGGAGTGCAACCACGTGACCAAGAAATTCCTTGAGATCAACCAACATGGCGGCAATGACGTAACATGCACCTCCAAGAATAGGCTTGCGATCGATCGTGTGCAAATGCAGGGGCGGATCTAGGGGAAGGTGCAGGGGGATCGCACACTACCCCTCCCCCTAATAAGCTGATATCTACAGCATTGGTGTCTGAGTAGTCTGCAAAAGGCAAAAAGTGCGTGTCTGTGGGAGGGGGGATAGGGGGAGTATAGCATTTCTCCAGTTTCCGACCCTCCCCCTCCGTGGTCACTATTCTAATCCACAAAAGAGTAGTCTCATAAATATATTACCACCAACATGGCCGCCACGTTTATGAAAAAGAAATATAGTACTTAGCTAATACTTGCACAGCCTTGACCCGCCAGCGATGAATACAGTCAATAGCAGTCTCGTACTCAGAGGAGCCTCTTAGAGGAGGAACGATACCGAGGAGCTCTTGGTACGAGAATGCCAAGGAGGTTTTGCACCATCGCGTGCGCTTGCTCAAGCTTATTATACAGCTTAGAAACCCTATACTTAGATGGCAAAACAATAACAACCTTTGCTTTTGTGAATACTCCCATTTCGAGTTCGCCTTTGCTCAGTCTTAGCCTCGAGTATGTACAAATGTGTTCTTTTCATTTATTAACCCTTACAGTAAGGAATCTGTGTACGAACTACGGAACAATATGAGTTGATTTAAATTCCAAGGGTTTTGGTTGAAATTTTAACGCACAACCGAGATTAAGGCTGAGCAAAATAGAACTCGAAACTGGAGCATTAAATTCTTTCTTTATAAACGTTAGTATTGTTTCTGCCAGTAACATGGCTGCCGTCACGTGGTATATGCTTTGGTCGAAAAAACCATTCACTGGAGGTTCATAAAAGAGAGCCATCTTTTTCTGTCAAGTATCACACTGACCTCCTACTGTGAGTTGGCTTGGATTATTGCCATAAAGAGACGCCCCCATTATTATTTTTCAAGAAAACAGCACCCGAGAACTTGTATATTTTCACAAAATATTGTTTAAATGATTGAATCAGGCGATAATTTCTCAGGATCAAAATACAAAGCTCAAAGAAACGTACCGATAAAGAAAACAAACTGCTTCAAGTTCCTTATGAGTTGATGGTTATCCATTAACAAGGTCCACAAAACGTGATCCAAGCTTGTTTACTTACGATTTGGCAACCGAATGAGCACAGTCATTCTCGTCCTATTACACTCTCCGGCCGCGCAGTTCAATCATGGTTTTGCAAACTTTGGTGCTATTTTCTTCTTTATTGTTTTTGGTGCTTTATTCCTACGGAAGTGAAGGTAAGTACTAACTGCTCTAGATTTAAAAAAGTACACCCGGGCAGTACAAAATCATTACATGTATCTACTTGTATTAACTTTTCAACTTAAAATTTGTAGTTAAATTAAAAACATATGGAACTAGCTATTTTCCGCCAAAATGCTTGAAACTGCAGAAAATATTTCTATGCATGATTTAAAAATAATAATTTTGAACTTTATTAGAAAATTTAATTTTAAATTTTGTGCAGTGACCTCAAATTTCTTGCGTAAGAAGTTTGGTAAAAGATCCTACATTTTATTTACTGAAAAAAAAAATTACATCAGTATAAAGTAAAAACTTTATAGTGTGTGTGGGATAAAGTTCGCGTGTTTGTTAAAGCAAAACCAAGTTATTATTTATTTTCATGTTGGAACTCATTGGTGTCGTAATCTATGGTTTGTGTAAGAAAAATAAAATGGATTAAATTTAGCAAGTGTTGTCGAATCTGGAGAACTTGATGCCTTAAGTATACATTTATCTTTCATCAGATAAATTTGTTTTATAATGATTTATCGGGGATTTTTTAGCCAAAGCCAAGTTCATTAAAATGACAAGTTACTTTTCTTATACTTCAAACGGTAGCCGGATTCATTCGTTTGTAGGTTGAGTATATTTGGTCTATTTGCGATATTCAACTTGAATGTGATGAATGAAATCTTTATTGTTGTATTTCAACAAGTGAGAAGGATGACAGGCATTAATCCAATATTTCTCTCTTCTTCGATTTTTCTGTGTTTATTCTTGTTCTTCTTGTTCTTGTTTGTCTGCGGATTCTTGATATTTTTATTTTATTTTTTTATTTTATAATCTTCGCCACAAGGGCAGGGAAACCCCACAGAGCAAAGCTCCACTACGAGGACCCAGACTTCTTTGATTCACTTTTCTTTTTTCTTTTTTATTCTGTTTTCCAGTCTTTGACAAATTATTCTAATTAATCTGCCCTGGCAGCAATTTTCATCGTTTTCCTTCTTGTTCTTCTTGATATTGTTTTTCTTGATCGTGTTTGATCTTCTTCTTCTCCTACTCCTCGATCCTCCTCCTTCTTCTTCTCGGACATTTCGCCGGAATAAATTAAAGAATCGTCAGCTATATTCAACTGGAGTACTTATGTACTAACTTGTATTTTCAACAGGATTTTCAAGTAAGAATTGCAGTCAAACCAATATCCAGAATTCCCAACTGGTCTTGTACCCATGTAGTTCTCGCATACCTGTCAATCAAACTGAGTGTCTGTCCCTTGGCTGTTGTTGGAATCATACGGTTGACAGCAACAAGACGGTGCAGTGTTTCAATGTATCAACAAACCAGTCTACATTAACCACAAGACTTCCGGTTTCGACCACGCATGCGCTTCAATCAACACGTCAGCCAACCAGGTGATCGATTCTAACTCGACTCGTGATATTCTAGAATAAGAAACTTACGTTATGGCGTCAATAATTACTACTACCAGAATCCCAGGGGCGGATCCAGAATTTTGTTCAGGGGGGTGCTGCGCACAAAGCTAACTCAGAGGAGTTAACTCAGGGGAGGGGGGTTGCACCCCTTAGAATCAAAAGGAAAAACCAGTATTGGTTACTTCGAAGTAGGGACACAAAGTCGAACCAGGGGGGTGCGCACCCCCTGGATCCGCCCCTGAATCCCTTGCACACTTTCTTTTGTTCAGTTAAGTATCACCAATTGTCTTGCTATACTCATGAGGAAATATAAATTTAAATATGAAAGGTAATGATTCGCATCATGGATGGATGGATGGATGGATGGATGGATGGATGGATGGATGAATGAATGGGAATGAATGCAAGCCACTACTATAAATCCTTCTACACATTACTTTCATTTTTTTCCTAAAATCCTGTAATACACGGTTTCCGTCATGTCATTTAACGCAAGTCATTAATTATTTCAGTACATCGAACCAACGAGACGGGTTCTGTGTCATCTACGACAGACCCGTTTGCAGTGCCTGGCTGAACCAGACCAAATCGAACGAAGGTCCACGGCCAAGATTTATCGGTAGAACACTGGGCGTAAACAAGACAGACAACCTGATCCTGAAGTACATCGGGGTTATAAACAACAATATAGACAAGGACGAAATACAGTGCAAGGAACTCCTCAGAATAATGCTCTGTCAATTCACTCTTACTCCGTGCGACATACACGGTGGACCCATAATCTACTGCCGCGAAGACTGTGATGAGATATTCAAGAGGTGCCAGAAACCTCTTACACAACTCCTCGCAGTTGCCAAATATATTATCGACCAGTCTGGTGTACAGTTCGTACATATTGGAATACCTAATTGTACTGAGTTAAAGTACTCATACGATATGGCTAACAATGAGACGTGTGAACACTTTGGATTATTTGGTAAGTTAGTGGAGTGTGCCCGTAGGGTCCCTGTGCAGAATAGTACGACATTCGTTGAACCAAGTGCACGATGTTAAGAAGTTTGTACCGCTGTGAAAAGTCTGTGCGAACGTACTACACGGTCACGCGGTACGAAAGAGTACTACATTCGTTGAACCCGGCCAGCGCAAGAAGCTTGTACCGCTGTGAAAAGTCTGCGCGAAAGTGCTACGCGGTGACGCGGTACGAAAGAGTACGTACGACGTTTGCTAAACTCATTAGATGAGGTAATAGAAGTCGTACGACTGTGGAAGATCACGGCACACGTCACGGACATGGTGCGCAATTGCCGACTTTCTTTCAGTCAAACAACGGAGCGTCCATTCTCTAGGAACGTGTTAAAAAAGACGCTAAATAGTCAATTATTGGTCGATGCCTTTCCGAATAAATACAAAATGCCGGGGGTGGGAGGGGGGTAACTATGGAAATCTTCGACCTTTTTATGAATGAAGTTCGACAAAGAAGTACGTCGATACGTCCTCATCCTATAGCAAGCGTTCGCAAAATTGAATTGGGTGCTAGGCAATTGCGGTTGCGGTAACCTGAGTATCAGTCTTCCAACCCCTCCTTTCCTAGGCACTCCGCCAGGGCCTGATACTCAGATTGCAGTTGGACCTTACCCTCTTGCCTGCTTTTGGCCTCTAGACACAGTATACGTTGGTATTCTTCCACTTTTACATAATTTTGACACTAACGTTTAATACTTCTTTAGATTTCCAAAAGACATCCAAACCAAGTCCAAATAAATTCATTTGGTTTCTCGTTGGCGGAATAGGCGCGTTCATTGTCGTAATCATCATCATCGCTTTCATCGTGGCTCGAAAAAGAAGAATGATAAAAGCCGCAAGCGTGTATAAAGGTGTTACGTTCACCGCTGTTACAATGCGAGATCGACTACGCGCGGATACTATGCTGGCCCTTGACGAAACCAAACTGTTGAGTCTATATAATCCTGATGAAATGACCCAGTTCCCTCTCGACCGAGTTGAGTATGTGAGGGACTTGGGCGAGGGCAACTTTGGCCAGGTGTTTCAAGGTAATAATAGTAATACTACTAATACTTAATGATAAATATTTATAATAAAAAGTCTAGTAATACTTTATTTAGTCCAAACATGGGGCTTATAAAGTCTTTCCCTGCTAGCAGAGTCTCCATCGTCGGCGATTCTTGGCAGAGAAAAGTTTCTCTGCATGGCAAAATCGAATCGTCAACGATGGAGACTCATATATCAGGAAAATAAGGACATACTAACTACAATACAGAATACCGTGCATTGGGGAAGTCTGTTTGGGAGTACGAAATAGACGTCGTATCGAATATTAATCCCTTAAAACAGCCCCACAATGCACTGCAATGCCAACTCGTCTCAGGTTTTCCCTCAACCTCGGGATGGCTAATAGTAATGGTTAATGACATATTTCACTCCACCCCCCCCCCTCCCCCTCTAGGCCGATGTTTTGGACTGCGCCCCGCAGACAAACCAAACACAGAGCTCATGGTTGCCGTCAAGACTCTGAAGGCGGGCTGCTCTAAAGAGATGAAAACAGTCTTTCTTCAAGAAGTAACCTTGATGTCTGTTCTTCATCATGAAAATATCGTCGAGCTTCTTGCCGTGTCTACAGAGGAAGAACCTTACGGAATGATCTTTGAATTCATGGCTCTTGGAGATTTGAACCAGTTTCTCAGAAAACATGGACCTTTTAGATTGAATGAGACGGAAGGTAAAGAAGAGAAAGGTAAGGCGACAAGTGGCAAGAGAGATTTCAAGTACGGCAGCCCTTTTTAATGGGAAAAGCAAAACATATTTTCACGGCCTCTGATATCCTGAAAACTATTTTTAATCCCAAAACATTGCATTGTTCCGCTCTACACCATTGCCACCGATATCCGATATATGAGGGAGCTAGCGCACTAAATATCAATGAAATAAGAATAAAGTTGGTGTTGATGAGGATGATGATGATGATAATGATGATGATGATGATGGTGGAGGTTGTTGTGGTGATAGTGATGATAGTGATGATGTTGATGGTATTGATTAATATGGTGATGGAGATGGTGGTGATAGTGGTGATGATGATGGTGGCAATATGATGACGATGGTGGTGTAGGTGGTTGTGGTGGTGATAGTGGTGATGATGATGGTGGTGATATGATGATGATGGTGGTGTAGGTGGTTGTGCATGGATGTGATTATGGTGATGGTGATGTGGAGGATGATGATGATAATAATAATAATATTGAAATATATTTCTTAAGCCGAAAATTGGGTTCATTTTTTGTCATGTTGCGTTTCGCTGTACTTTTATTGCGTCATATTCAACGTTGCCTCGCGTTGTGTCACATTGCTTCGAGCTTGTTATTCTGTTAATGAAGATGCGTCACGCTGCACCATGTTTCGTTACATCGAGTCTTATTAGCATTATTTGGCATGCCAGCACTGATGTTTATAGTGTTCGTAAACCTACTTATACGTTATCTCTAGAAGAAGTTCTTACGCGTGAAGACCTCCTCTCAATCGCTCTACAAGTAGCCAACGGTATGGAATATCTACAGAGCATGCGATTCGTGCATCGGGACCTTGCCACAAGAAACTGCTTGGTAGGCGATAGTTTGGCGATCAAAATAGCTGACTTCGGCATGTCGAGGGATGTGTATGCTTCTGATTATTACAAGGTACGTTGATTTGTCCAAGAACATAAGCTCAGTTTATTTACAGGCCAAATACGTCACGAAAATATGCATTTATAAGAAAGAAATTGTGGCTTCACAGTGTGGCTTTTCTTCCCGCCACTGAATTATCCACTACGCGTCGTGCTTCTCCTTACACTTCTCTCGTGTTCTGCCAACCCCGCGTGCTTTATAACTGCACACAGCACAGCAAGCAAGTTTTTTATTTCTTTTATAAAATACGAATTACAACAACCGTTATTTTGGATAGGAATGACGGCAGCACGCGCTCCCAACCAATCAGAACGCGAGATTTATAACCGTTATCGTTATCATCGTTATCGCTATCGCTATCGCTATTAGCTATTCGCTATCGTTATCGTTAATAATAATAATAATAGTAATAATAATGATAATAATAATAATAATAAATGTCTTTATTAGAAATTACTACAAAACAAACGTTTAAGTTCGAAATTTTAAAAAGTGAACTTAACTAAATAAAATTGTACAAGCATCTATATATAAAACAGCGTTTAAAACGCTCAGTCTCTAATTCTTGGGAGAATA